TTCGTCACCCTAATTAATATAACAATTAATATTTTTTTAAATTATTATTGCCTAGCAATCCGCTTCGCCTGGATAGAATATATAATGTGGCGTTATTTAGATTTAATATCGTCAAAGACCATTTATTTTAACAATATTCCATTTTTCTTTTTAAAATATAGTCTAGTATATCTTTTCTGGCATTGCTCTCTATCTGTCGTAAAATTTTATCACAAATGGTTCCACCAGTCGGAACATCATCCCGAACAGAAAGTCAAAATTTAAAAAAGCCCCTGAGCTTATTAGAAGCTTTTTATGTTACAGAAAGACACTTCATTTATTTATAAGTGTAATAGAAGATATCATACATAGTTGTCATTTTTACATAAGCCGGGTATAGTTTATAACAATGTCATGCCACCATAAAACAGTGTGTAAAACCAAACTTTCAACGGCTTTTACGATCATTTAGGGCACTGCTATTTTACGTAAAAAGGAATATTTAGTTGAATGAAAACACAAACCAAATAGATGTACGTGTATAAAAATCGGAGTTATGTTTTATGGTGGACGTGCAGTGAATAAGGAAGCCAACAAAAATGTAGGTGCTGCTTTGCTAGGACGAATTGAATTACTCAGTACATAATATGCTATTCATATCCTAATAAATTATCAACAATATTATGTGCATCGATGATGTAGTTTATAAAATTATATTTAAGCCTAAAGACTGTGAAATAATTGAACGGAATAATTAAATGGCTGTAAAATAAATGAACAAACAATACATGCGATAGAATTCGTAGACACAGCCTATTATTTATTCTGTAGAAAAGCTAAAACTTCAACAATAATATGTGTATTTAATGATTAGAATTTTGATATCGGCTTGATTATTTTTCAATAGCGATTTGAAAAAAATGCTTGAGGATATTTCGTGTTCAAATAATTCAAGACCTATTAGAAAGAAACAATAAAAGTTTTTTACCTTAATAATTCTTAAATGTCTTTTCTTCAGCTAATAAAGCCAGTCCTTTTAAAAAATGTGTCAGCATGCAAACATTTCGGGAATGCATTACTAACACATACCCGTTATGAATGTGTGACAATTAGTTTTTTTAGGTTTATGCGGTATTGGTCCGTCGCTATTAAGGATCACATGCAAGTGAAGTAACTAACCCTTACGCCCATAACATACATGTTATCACCATCATTATCATTACTGCAATACACAGGTCTACTGCTGAATATAACGAATGCCATGAAATGACACGATCCCGAGCTATGAGTACGTCGCATCCGTCGACTTCCTACATGTCTTGCCAGGTCGTAACTATAGTAGGTTTAAGGGCATAATTTATAAGGTAAACTTTGATCCCTTACCGGTATGACGCTGCCGCTCCAAGACATCCACATCGGTAGCCTATTTTTTAAGCTATATAGCCAGCCCATTGCGCTTTTACTGACCCCTACAAGGCTAAACATCAAAAAATCAAAGCTAACTTTAAAAATAATTAAGCTTCAAATAAATATCACAAGTTATTTTATTTGTTGAAATAAGTACGCCATAATTCGTCATAGCAAGTAGGTAGGAACGAACTGCCGTTATCGGCGTACGGCAATTCTTTTATTATTCATGGGACGATCTTGCTCACAGAGTGTTTTATATGAGCGACGATCGAGTATCAATTTGTAGTGAACGGCCCGTATTAGCATTTCCCGTGATGCCTACGCGTACATTGTTTCACAAAGGGCAACTGTGAAAACTTTTTCCTTGTTTAAATGAAAATTGTGTGAGCAAAGGATAAATTTGTGGCTGATCATCTTTAGTTTATGTTTATAATAATTGTTTTTAGTTACCACTTGACTGATTTCAAGCACAGTGACATTTTTCGAATAGCGTCAGAAACAACCAATCAAAATAAAATAATTTAAATTTTGTTTTAATGATATTTAACGTTTTGCCAGAAAAGTGCTTTAAAATTGATGTGCCAGTATCGACAAAATTATATTACTGAAAAAAAATATTAGTAAAAAGCACAAATATTTCGTGAGTTATAAACAAGTATCTCAATCAAATCAAATCAAGTGTACAACCAGTGCGTGTTGCCAGTGATGACTTACGGATCAAAGACGTGGTCCTTCACTGCTGGCCGTATGATGACGCTCAAGGTCGCTCAGCGAGCTATGGAGAGGGCTATGCTCGGAGTTTCTCTGCGTGATAGACTCAGAAATGAGGATATCCGCAGTAAAACCAGAGTGACCGACATAGCCCAACGGATTAGTAAGCTGAAGTAAGGCGCATAGTAGGGGGCATATCTCGTGAGAATAAGGCAGAAAATGATCAAAGTAGCGATACTTTTTATATTCGTTTTCTTCTAGATTTTTGGAGAAATTCTTAAAAAGGCTGTCCTTGAGAAATAATAAATGAAAAGCGAAATAATATTGACTCAGTCTACACTTATTAGTATTGACTTTCTACTAGCCTGATCGATTCTAAAAAAACAATTTGTTTTTTTTTTAAGAATCAATCATTTTAATGCATATTGCCGTGGGGAACTCGGTGCCATATTGTTTAAACCGATTTTTTTGAATTGCAAGGAATTGTTATTTTCAAACTGGATAATTATTTTTATATTCTTTGATGAAAGACGAATAAAAATGTTAATATTTTCGTCGAATCCCAAATTCTATCTGAATCTGAATTTTGACTTATTAAAAATATATAAAGAAAAATAATAAAATATAAGAGATATTATTATATGTGCTAAAAAGTGCAAGCCATTTTTTAACACATTTAAATATTATCGTGTTTCCTACAATTCTATCCCATAGCATTTTTAAAAATAACACGTTGTAATTAAAAGCGGGAACATTCGCTCTAATAACTAAGAAGCAAGACAGTAGCGCTGCCTTTACAAAACGCAAATCCCACAAAGCCCGCTCTCAGCTCGTTTGAGCCTTCGTGTCTTCGCCGAAAAGCTAACGTAACCGGTACAATACGTTAAGTAGTGTACGTTTATGAGTGTTCGTTAAAGATACGATAAAGACGGCGGAGGCGACGGCGGCGGCTAAATTGGCTGTTTCTGACTATCGCACTGCGGAATGCATTCCAGTTATCTCCTGTTATATTATATATGTATTAATATACGCGAATATTTGTGTAATTATCGAAAATGTGATCGAAATTGACTTGTTTATCTTAAAATATAAGTTTATTTTTGTACATTAGCGAATAGAAACATATAACAAATGATGTACGATGAAGTGGCCGGCAAGAATATGCAGTTATGTTAGTAGTATAGTTGTAGCACAAATGTGTCAGCTCGACCAGAGAAGGACCACGCTCTCACAGAATACCAGTGTTAAATAGTAGCTTAATACTGCTGTGTTTTGTATGATGAGTGTAAAGAACTGGAGACCCTTTTAATTGGAAACGAGGCATTCCATCTTAGTACTCACGGGTGATTTCATCTTAGTACTCACGGGTGACAACGCATCTGCATTTTGATTCGTAATCGAGGATAGATGAAGATGTCTATGGGCCACAGCAACCACTTACCATAAGGTGGACTGTGTGCTCGCTTGTCACCCTATCCTATAAAAAAAATATTTTTCGAGAGCCTTTTACTGGAAAATGAAGTGTAGAGCGGAGCCCTCTAGATGCAGTGACGGATTGGATGCAAGTGGCTCAGGACCGTGCTTTGTGGTGTTCCTCGGGGTTACCCCATTAAATCACCATTATCATAACTGATGTATATAGGCATCACCGACAATGATGTTGCAATGGAATACTCCATTGATAGAATCAGGCTTTACTTTGCGGAAATCCATTATAAGAAAGATACTAATATTTACGTTGCAACCATCCGCTTAATTAAATAGAATAATGTGTCTTACCTAGATTGAAGAGCACCTTCTGCCCTCCCTCAATTGCGTGCACTAATCCCGTCACCACTAATCCCATCACCACTACTCTCAACACCACTTCTCCCAACACCACTACCCCCAACACCACCGTTCTAGTAAAGACACACCATCGACGATAATACGACACGTGTTTTGCCTCTACACGAGGCATCTTCAGGTGATATAGACTCTACGGCGGCTGACCGCAAAGCATTAGCCTAAGTCTTGATTAATATCTTTATACTCCACTTAATGTAGTAATGACCTAGTAACATGCAGTAAGTATTGACTTTCATTCTCATTCTTCATCCATTGGGAAGCAGGTGGCTCAGCATCATGCCACAATTCTTCAGGGGAGGCCTATATTCATCAGTGGATTTCTAAAGTACTTGTGATGTACGGTCTAATTTTCTTCTTTATCCACTATTGAATATAGGCATTTCATATATATGCAAGGAAACTCTCTCATCAAGAATACACGTTCATACTCACTAATCTGAGAAAAGAGGGTTCCCTCAGTCTATATCCTGGTGCTGGTTATGCTGCTTCTCTTTGCTAGTCTATAGAATTCCGGTTTTCATTTCGGATTTAATACACAGCCATTTTCGATCAGCAGACAGAGCCCTGTTTACAATTTTACATCATGCTTAATTAATGTTGAAATTTGGAAGGGATCGTTGCTCCCCATTGCACTTTTATTTACGTAATCGTCAATATTAACGTAATTAAGTCCTAAATGTGAGGTTGACAAAAAACTAATTCATCACAATTAAGTATCGTGATGATCGGTGCCGTACTTCTTTCGTTTTGGGCCAAAGATAATTCTATATTCTATATCCTCAAGTGATTTTACATTTGAATAATCTAAAAAACAAGACTTTTGATTTCACAACAAAATACATTGTAATCAATTTTCAAACTGATTTCAAAAAATATGTCAAAAACAAAGCGTCTACATTTTTATTCCTTATCGACGACAGAAGTTGTGAGTAGCATTTGACATAATTATCACGCTTGGCGATAGCACAACTATACACCTTGTTTCCTTGTCGTTACTCCCCGTAACCGGTCTAAATACTTTACGTCCGACGTAAACAGAATTATTATATAATATGGTAGGAACAGATACAGTCGGAAGAAACTCGGGATGCAGTGAGGTAACGGAGTTTATTCACCCCTACGTACTTCATCATCATCATCATTACAGTCTATCGTAGTTTTCTGGTGAACATAAGCTTCTCCAAAAAAAAATCACGATAACATCCTCACCATCTGGATGCTTGTTGGTTTACCACTGTACATTTTACTAGGAGTTTTCTTCTTTGTACAACTTCTCTGTACCAACCTTTCTAAACGGCCGGCAATGCACCTGAAATTCCCCTGGTGTTGCGGTTGTTCATGGGCGACGGTAATCACTTACCATCAGGTGAGCCGCATGCTCGTTTGCCCCCTCTTCTTTAAAAAATAAATAAATGCGGGAGATATTTTTGCTATAGTTGCCACGCTTGGTAGGTGTATTGAAATCGTAGTTTTTTATTTTCTAGTTGTTATAGGAAAACTCTGCGGCCCATTTCCTGTTTTGTTTCCCTCTGTGGTCTCTTACGTGACTCACGGGATGATATGCGGCAGCGAATACTCTCACACCGCACCGCCCCTACACAGTATACGCTGCAAACCTTACTGGAATAAAACAATGTGTAAAAAATGAAAAGAATCTCTGGAATAAATTTGTAACAAAATTAAATTAGTATATACAGAAAATAGTACGAAAAAGTACTTATATACGGAATTAAAGTGAAGACTTAAGCTACAGATGACTTATTTTTATACAAACATACAGTCGCAAACATACAAGTTCTCAATATTCTCTTAATAAATGAATATTCATTTCGGCGCAGATGTACATAGTTTAACTAACAAGGGGCTGTTAATTTAAATTTAGTATCAGGACTCCGCGTAATGAACGGGAAGATGATTGTTATAATGGCATTGTAGATTTCATGTCGCTAAGTCGCGAGTATTATTTGCATGATAGTTTTCTTTGTACTTTAGTCTATTATAACTTTATATATCAAGGGCTGTGTAGATGTTTGTAGGTTTATAACTCAATCACGCAGAGACAATTAAACTGATTTAAATGAAATTTTGCGCACATTAAGTTTATGCCCTTTAGTAACATAAAGGAAACCTTTAATATTGGTAAAAGATGTTACCGTAGGAAAATGAATAGAATGAACGTTTTGACGAGCGAACGTTAAGCGATTCGGTTTCGGTCGGAGCCGCGGACAGAAGCTAGTTGTCAATAAATGTATCATAATATATTGCATTATTTTTATTGAAACATTATACTAATTAATTAATAGCGGAATTATCTCTAGCGAATATAAAGGTAAGGTAAGCGCAATGGTTTAGCTTTACAAAATCTTGCATTGAGGATATCCACTAAATCTCAGCTTAATTTTAAATAGAAGCAATAAAAACAAATTTTATCTAAGTTAAAGTCTAAACCAAAATAAATATAGTCGTCCAGACCGATATAGGTCACAGCAGCCAGCCTTAACGGAGGCTAGCCATCGGTGCAGGACAGAATTAAAATGCCCAAGTGTATGCGCAGGTGCACTCTCTACTCCGTCACTCTCATAGTTCGACTCATGGAACGGTAAACCAACATGACCGGAGAGAGGTCAGGCACGAATCATCGGCTCAACATGCTTTCCGAGGCACGGGGGTGAGACACCGCCAACTTCCTGACTCCGGGCAGTTACTGAGAATTTCTTGACGAAAAAACTCAATAACTGATATTGTTTAATGTCCTACCCGGGGCTCAAACCTGGGACCTCAATATCAGCAGTACCGAGTTTACAACCACAAGACAAACAAATTATATATATATATATATATATATATATATATATATATATATATATATATATATATTTGTATATATATATAAATATATGTGTGTGTGTGTGTGTGTAATAGCAGCCAAAATATTAAAAAAGCTTAGCTTGCTTACACTAACAATACTTTTTTAGCTTAGCTTAAGACAAAAGTATATAAAAACACATTCTTAAAACCCAAAACAAGCTACATCCTATTTCCTAACAACAATACAACCTTGAGAAAATAACGATCACTGATATGCTAATCGGCGGCTCACATTTGTTCGTCTCGCATCATGCAAATTTATGAGATGTTGGCAATTTTTAATTACCAAGACGTCTGAGCGTTCGTCTAGAGGTAGCGGGATTGTGGCGGAGTCGCGAGCAGTCAGGTGACAACGCTGCGAGGCGTCGGGGAGCAGTTAAGTGTGGCATTTTACGGCTTTTATGCATATTTGATGGCGCCGCCATAATCTCTGCGGCGAGGGGAGAGCGTTCGCGAGCCCGCGCACACTTCACCTGTATTGGATATGAATCGCTGTTAACTTATGTCGACGGCGTGGAAATTATACTTAGGATAAGCTCCGCAACCATCTTACTTATAACTTAAGGGTAGCATGTGTTAAGATGTTTCTCACGCATTGCGTCTTCGGCTTTAATATATACACATATATCGATAACAATCGAACTTTTCATTTTCGAAATCAACGTTTTCATTTTTATTTTTAATTTTTCCACTAATATAAGAAAAGTTTATTTTAAGCTCTAATATGAAAAAAATTTTGTGAGTCGGTAATATGATATTTATAAATAAAACTATTTTCAACGACGAATCGATTTCTGCACGCATTTCACTTCAGTCATTTCAAGTGAATCTCCTTAAAACTGACATACAAAGTGCAACGTGCTTGAACTACGTACATAAACTTTTTCCCTTGAAATTGTCTTTTCATGAATTGTATAAGTCAAAAAGTTTAACACCCGCTCAGAATCCGTAGAACAGTCTTAAAATAGCAATTGTAATCTCACTTTATAATGAAATAAAACAATGTCGCAAAAAGCCTCATGTGTTCCGCGTGTCCCCCATACTTCACAACTTTTTACTCAATGCAACTTTCTATTTCATTATATTTATGTAATATATAATACCTCGTGGATGTCTTTATACGTGGTAGAGCTATGTTGCAGCTATACTAGTAGTATAGTTGTAGCGAATCGAATCGAATGGGTCGGCTTGACCCGGGAAGGACCACACTCTCACAGAATACCAGCGTAAACTTAACGCTGCGCTGCTATGTTTCGTATGGTGAGTGTAGATAACCGGAGACCCTTTTTGCTGGAAACAAGGTATTCCATCTCAGTCCTTACGGGTGTTTGATTCGTATTTGAGGATAGCTGTGGCCCATAGACATCTATATGGGCCACAGCTACTACTTACCATCAGGTGGAATGTGTGCTCGTTTGTCATCCTATCCTATAAAAAAATCTAAATATTTGTCACCAAAATGAAATCGTGTATTTCACAGTACTGATATTTTCTTAAATAACATTGTTCACTTATAATGATGTACTTAATAGTTTTCCATGTGGTGGTGGTGTAAGAGAATTAGTCGTGACATATCGTCCCGCGGATGCTGTAAAATGTGACTATGAACAACGCTAGAAAGATCTTTTGTCCTCGAAAAGATAATGATATAACTATCCCGTTCATAGACGTTCTAAAATGCTGTAATGCTCAATTTTTTGTCGGTTAGCAGCGTACTGAGGTCTTCATTCCGCCAGCCAAACATGACGATTGAAGCAAATCTTTCTAAAATACAAAACATTATAGCGCCATCTATCAAAAATCATAATACCTTTTTAACATATCCCATAGTCGTCTCATACAGGACGAAATGCAAAAACTTTATTTCGCCATTTTCTAGTTACTACTTCCATTTTTAGAAACAATTGTGACATAAGGATGATATTATTTAATATCCACTCCCTGTCATTTATTATTTATACAAACACCTTCAGCTAAGAATTACAAAGGGTGAACTTAATGCCTTATGGCATTTTCCTACTTTGAACCATCATATATTGAAGTTGTTTAATATTGAAACTCAAAATCCGTTCGAAAACTTGAACGTAACATTTAAATAATCTGTTGTTTAAAAGGCAAAGCCGACGAATTCGAAAATAATTACAGGAATTAGACGCGTGCTAAGAGGGCCGTATCAATTACAGGCTGTGAGCAAACAGGGCATTACGTACTCAATATTAAAATCAAATTTACGGACCGCCCCAGTTTGTGAACCGCCTAAGCGTTGGTGTAGGAACGTAGCCGCGCTTTGACATGTGGATTGAGGAATTGGCGGGTATGGTCAGCAAAAACGGATTCCTTATTTAATTTATAAAAACTTTTTTATTTCATTATATTACATATAACTTTACTAAATCATCGCTTGTTATTATTAAGCCTTTTTTACTTCAACGATCAAAGTTTACAATGGTATCTGTTCTTTAGCTTTATATTACGTTTAAAAGAGACAACAGACCCAGCTAAACTCTTCTGTAAAGGCCAGCTACTGAAACTCGTAGATACTTTATCATAAGTAGGAGTGAAGGTATTTATTGCAACGTGATAAAAGAACAAGTTTTTAAAAATAACAGATAGGAAATGTCATGCCTACATCTCAAAAACGATCCCATAATTGAACAATGTTCGAAAACATAACTACTACAGCTTGGAGCAAGCTTTTCTTTGTTCTTGATCGCTGGTGGTGATGATGAGAATTTGTGGTATAATTTGGCAGTGAGCATGTAAGTAAGTAAGCGTATAGTTCCACAGCACCGACAATAGAAAAAGGACAGATATAACAGGGACGTAATGGCACTATTTAAAAATAATAGACTGTTTGGGACAGGCTACTGAAAGTTTTTTTTTTCAAATAACAAAATCAGGTGAAATGGGTTTCTAACTTTATCCAGTATGGACTAGTTCTACTTATAACTCACAAAAACCATACCAATTATTAGAAGTGAGGTCATAATTCTTAATTCATCAAGTATCAATCGAGTTAAAGAAATCGTAGAGATTACAGCCAAATATCTGACAAGCGCAGCTAAAAAATATATATACTACTTCAATTTTCTAATTGTGATTATTTTTAATTATCATAGAAAATATTTTATGACAACGGCGGTCACTTGTTATTCCATTGGTGGTCATTGTTTGACCATTGCCTCTGATCGACAAACTGATATTTTTATTATTTATTTTGTTATAATTT